ACATTTTCATTGAAAAATTATACATTAAAATATAGGAAATATGTTGTGGTTAAAATTAAGATTTGCCAACTTTTGTATATAGTTTTATTTAGTGCCAGTAGTGAAAAGTAATGTGTTAAATAAATACATTAAAGCATCAGTTCCTGTGATGGTCTCCATGGAGACAGCCTCTGGCCTGTGATGGTCTCCATGGAGACAGCCTCCGACCTGTGATGGTCTCCATGGAGACAGCCTCTGGCCTGTGATGGTCTCCATGGAGACAGCCTCCGACCTGTGATGGTCACCATGGAGACAGCCTCCGACCTGTGATGGTCACCATGGAGACAGCCTCTGGCCTTTGATGGTCTCCATGGAGACAGCCTCCGACCTGTGATGGTCTCCATGGAGACAGCCTCCGACCTGTGATGGTCTCCATGGAGACAGCCTCTGGCCTGTGATGGTCTCCATGGAGATAGCCTCAATTAACCTTAAACCCTAGAAAATAAATGCACTTCATATTTTGTGTACAAAATGGGAATGTTGAGTATAAAGAGATGTCTTTGCCTCCTCACATGTTGCTCCAGTAACAGGGATGCAATGTATGCAAATTAGGTGCAAAATCATACTTAGTATTAAGTATTCACAACAAGAGCTTTGACTTTGACAAGACCGATGCCTTCCGCTCGGAAATGAAGCAGAATAAATAGTTTCCAAATCTACAAGACAACTTAATAACGATGATTTGCGTATTCTTTAACTTAAGATATCAATTTCAGGGAATCTGCGACTTTATTAAAATTCTACAAGAAGTGGCACTTCTGAGGAAAAGGAGCACAGAGCACCGTGTCACTTGCCCCCTGACTACAAGGGGGGAGTCCGGGTGTCATCCTCGGGGTGTCTGGTGCACCCAACAATAGCGTTTGAACATTTAAGCTCGGCGCAAATTGCTCAAATTTGCCTATGGTGCCTATTGCCGGAAACGCGTTGCGTAATAGTGGCGTCATTAGTATGTGTAGTATGTCATTACAATGGTAGCGGACATTAGTATGTCCCTACAATTGTATTTTAGTCTTATATTCTTTGTACGCACATTATTCTGAATAAACATTAATAATAATAATAATAATTATATTATTATTATTATTAATTTATGCACAATAGGCCAACCTTGGTAAGCCTTCACACACACACTGATGTATACTTGACGAATGTTCTTAAATGACTTGGCCACGTCGTTCAGGATTGCCTAGTTACACTATGTTAAGTTAATTCCGACAAGATAATGTGTCTAAGGATGCACAGACAGGTCTCGTTTGATATTAAGGATACGCAAAGCTACACCTGATTATCCACGCGAAAAATTATTGTCATGTTAAACGGAGTTGACACTTTAAAGAGACACCGCTATCATTTGGGTCCCTTGCGGGCTATTCATGCCCGTGTCACCTCTTGGGTGGCTTAATCTTCATCAATTAATCTTTGGACACGGGAGACATCTCCCGTCACGCAGGGTGTAGTCGCACCGCCATAGATCTCCAGTATCATCTCTTGATACTGGTAATGGCTCAAAAAAGGCCACCACTTACGGGCTATTCATGCCCGTGCCACCTCTTGGGTGGCTTAATCTTCATCGATCAATCAATCTTGTGGTCCGTCACTACCAGCGCTCCGCTAATCTGACCAAGATTACTGGTCGCTACTACAACTTGAGCGACCGAATGAAAAACGTGAACACCTCTCACCACTTCTTCGCAGCCTGCACCACCCTTAGTCAACTCGCCCCACCTCCAGCTACGTGCATCTGACTGATGCCCTCTGCACGTGGTCTGTAATGTTTTCGTACATCTCGTGTGAGAATAAACGTCCTCGGGTCGTAGGCCGTCGCTTGGTCTGCACGTAGTCACGGTCTAGGGATCAGAATCATGAAGCAGTTACGAAAGTACTTACGAACGCGTACATATTTCCTCAATCTTTGACGGCTTTGGTTACATTTATTAAACAGTTTACAAGCATGAAAATGTCCCAATCAACTGTTGTTATTGTTATAAACAGCCTCCTGGTGCTTCGGAGCTCATTAACTGTTTAATAATTATAAACGAAGCCGCCGAAGATTGAGAAAAAAATGTACAGGTTCGTAAGTGCTTGCGTAACTGCTTCGTGAATCTGGTCCTAGGTTCAGAGTATGTGGGTTGAAAGGTACTTGTACCCTGCCACCCAGGTGACGCACTCACCCTCAATATCACTAGGGAAGGTGAAACGAAAATTGCTCGTGTTATTGTTCAGAGTACATGCATTTATTCTGAGACGCAGAGCTACTAAACGCGTCATAAAATGTGCATGATGGACTAGTTATTGATTCCAGACTTTAGTGTGATCCCATTATGGCTGTTCTAATGAACAAGTGAAATAATTTAATGCGCCAATTAATGCATTATTATTAGTCCCGTTGTGAGCCAATCTTATCAAATCATTTAAAGAAAAATAAGTATAACATTCAGGGGTTTAAAGTTCAAGCTCTGTGATAATATGAAACACTTCTTTACTGAGAATTATACTATTGTATATGTAATGTAGTGGTGCCTTGTAAATTTAAGTATCTATGATTTATATTGCATTTTATTAAATAAAGATAACAAAAAATCTTATCCATAAGCATAATCCGTTGCAGTCTAGCTGTCTTGACACTTACTTAAAGTAGCAACAATGCACTTTTGTTTTAATATAGAGCAAATAAATATTTTTGCAGACATGATCTTTCTCTGAAACCTGAAAAAAATCTTTGAGGTCGATAGAAATAGATCACTGTGTAGCATCGTAAACTAACCCTTCACAAAGTTGAGTTAACTGAGGATCGCAATAGTTTCCGACACGTGCAGTCGAGGTTTGCACCTTTTTTATTTACAAATATTATTGCATTCATCCTAAGAAAGATCCACAAGACGGTTAGCCACCCTGGGATTACCTCAAAAAAACAGTGCAGATTAGTGGTAGACACGAAATCTACTATAACGAACAATAAACTGATACAAACACTCCGTAAGGACTAAGATAACTGTGGGATCATTAGAAGCTCACCCTGGAGCAGGTGAGGCAGGTGAGGCATGCCTCACCCCCTGGCAGGACATAATGATAGGTGACGTGTCCAGGACGAGGGGGTGAGATAACGCTGGCAGCGAGGGGGGGGGGAGGGAGGGGACAAGAGAGGACACACGTGATAACCAGATAAGTTATCCAAGATATCCATCAGGTGTTAGGCATTGACTCCCATCTACCTGTAAAACTTATGCTTCTGCTTTCAGTAAAAACTGAGGCTCTTGGTGGTGGTGGTGCTTCTGATGTTGGTGGTGGTGGTGCTTCTGATGTTGGTGGTGGTGGTGCTTCTGATGTTGGTGGTGGTGGTGCTTCTGATGTTGGTGCTGGTGGTGCTTCTGATGTTGGTGCTGGTGGTGCTTCTGATGTTAGTGGTGGTGGTGCTTCTGATGTTGGTGGTGGTGGTGCTTCTGATGCTGGTGGTGGTGGTGCTTCTGATGTTGGTGCTGGTGGTGCTTCTGATGTTGGTAATGGTGGTGCTTCTAATGGTGGTGGTGGTGCTTCTGATGTTGGTGCTGGTGGTGCTTCTAATGTTGGTAATGGTGGTGCTTCTAGTGGTGGTGGTGGTGGTGTTTTTGATGATGTTGATGGTGGTGCTTCTGATGCTGGTGGTACCTCCGATGTTGGATATGGTGGCGGTGTTGATATATTTTGGGGGTAGGACTACTGTTAGTGGTGGTAATGATGTTGTTAGTGCTGCTCATGCGTCATCTCCCCGACCCAGACCAGCCCCCATGAAGGCATGTGAGCGACGGCTTGACTGTGCTGCCACCTGGCGGGTCCTTCATAACGGGTGCCATCGTAATACCCTCAGAGTAGAACCCTACCCCCGGCCGGATTGTAGCACTGTCCTCACATGGCAACATCTCACTTTGATAACAGCTTCAAAGCCTTAACTAATACAATCTTGACAGTGCCATTGGTTCCCTTAACTAATACAATCTTGACAGTGCCATTGGTTCAAAAAAATACTTGACAGCCTGCGATATCTGATATCTTTATCACTTATCACTGCTTGCATCCCCAGCAACTGTCATCACTTCCTGTTTCTGAACACAGTTGCAGAAGGAAATAACAGTCACATATAAACATACTGCCAGTGTTCTGTTCTGGGTTTAACGTTAAAAAAAAGCCTCGTGATATACCTGACTTTCGAACACCACTTGTAGGTAACGTCATTTGTAAACACTATCAGCTGTCAACGATGAGGCTAGCGGAGGTGCTAATGTCAATAACGACAAGTGAGCCAGATTAAACGAATATTTGGGTTTGGTGACAAGAGCCATGCCCATTATGAGATTAAAACTCTTCCTCTAACGCCAGCAAGATGGGTATTGGGTGCAAAATAAATGAATTAAACTAAACTAGCAAACTAAATACTACATTGTCATGAGAATCAAACCATGGTAGAAATACTGAAAGGTAATTTCAGTTTTAGTAAACATTAAAAAGACTCCAAAGATATAGTTATCTTTACATATTTTATGATATATTTTCATGTTCAAACTAGTTCATTAAAATTATCAAGGCACATTTTTCTTATGACCTTTTCAAAACAAATATTGGAATATATTACTTAAACTTGACAATACAAGTCCAAATTACAGCATGTTCAGAGTTCCACGATCAATTAATCTGATACAACTTGAACCTCTCGCAAAAAAAGGTTTCCAGCTCAGAGATTCTATGTCTTGTTATATTTCGTTGAAAAAAAAGAAATCGGCTGATAAAATATATGAGAAAAAATTCGAGAAAAAAAATCTATATAAATTTATATAATTTTTTTTTCTTGAAATTTTTTGGGGGGGCATAAAACTAAATATTAAAATACTTTATTATATGCTATTGTGATAGCTTAGAGTCATAGTCATGATTTCAGTTGACACTTGTGTTCGATGTTAAATTTTTGACCATTTTGGAAAATTTTTGACACATAATTCAATTTTTTTTCTCCCCTCCTATTTATGCTACGATGCTGAGACTTGGACCAGTTGAGCCCAATTTTATATATAACTAGTCAAAAAAGTTAGATTGAAATCGAACCAGTTTTCATTTTGTGCATATTTTCGTAATCCGCCCCCTTAACGTTGACCCAACGTTACCCCAGCACTGTGTCCCTGCTGGCAAAGTCTTGTAGCCTACGCTACTGCTACAAGGGCTCCCAAACCCTACTAACAGAAGCTGTCTTGCTACCTATCGCTGCTAGAGGATGATCTCATGCGAGTGAGCCGTGATGCTGTCGTGTCGAGGATGTGTGGCAAAGTATCGTTGAATCAACTCCTTAAAGGCCTCTATCTCCTGTATTGCCTCTTTGCTGATCTCCGTCTTGACCGATGTTGCCCCGAGCTGGTGGTGGCTCTGTTGTTGGTGCCGTTGATGCTGGTGGTCAAGCTCATCGTCACTACTGTTGTCGCTGCAAGACCCGTTGGCTGGAGTGCTGCTGTGCCTGTTGCCGGAGGAAAACAATATGCATAGAAACAGGGGAAAAATTAAGACACAAAAATCCTATTGTATTATACTAAATGATAACAAGAACTACAGGCCTGAATCTCCCGGCCAAACGGTCTATGCTAAGAATGTCAATGACCCAGATACTGCAGCAGAATCAATGAAATAATAAATTATTAGTCAAGGCTGAAAAGACTAAGCAGGAGAGACAGAGGCAGCAGAGCAGAAATAAAGTGGGATCCACAACAGTGGCATTTTGTGGGCTTATTACTGATAATATTGAATTTATCTCTAAATCTCAGAGGAAACAAAATGGAGATTCATGTTTTATGTAGACCTCTCCCCGTAAGACCAGCTTACATATGAGGCCACCTGTACAAAAGTGCCACAGAAAAAGTATGAAATCCTCACCTCTTAACACAGACAGACACACACACTTATTGTTTGTGTTTGTGTGTGTGTGTGTGTGTGTGTGTGTGTGTGTGTGTGTGTGTGTGTGTGTGTGTGTGTGTGTGTGTGTGTGTGTGTGTGTGTGCTAGAGAAAAGTACAAAGATTTACCACAAGGCTATTTAGTAAGAATTAAGAAGACACGCATATGAGATGTTAATTACAGAAACTGACCGATAGAAAAGATTGATAGAAAAATATAAGAGGACAGTACTCTGGGATACAGAGTAGACAAGGACTGTTCCGTCTAGAAGGGAACGAGGCCACGAGGCCACAGCTGGAAACTGGGAACACAGATGAGTAGGAAGGACAGAGTGAATTACTCCTTCAGTGCGCGAATAGTGAGAGAGAGAGGAGCTGGAGTTGAAAGTAGTAAGGTCATTTTCCTTCACAACTTCAGGAGTAGAAATGAGAAGAAGATATTCGGGAGTCACTACACCTTATGATTGATAGCTGAGAGCAGGAGCTCTTTCCTACACACACAAATAGGTAACTACCAGACAATAACAAACTCTTGATCATTTGTGAAACCTCAGGAAGAAGGGGGAGGATGTCAGGACAAGGTCCAAGAGAGTGGGAGGCATTACTACTACTGTTGAGCTACTTGGTTCCTGGCCCACCGTATTGATTCGCTGAATTTGGGATAACCCGGATTATGTCCAACTGCACAGTGGGCCTGCGGTGGCGTGGGGACTGCACGAGGAGAGTCACTCCCTCAGACCCGGGGTAGGGCAGCACTCTATGTGAAATTTATATGAGTCCAGATTTCATCTTAATTGACATAAATAACATCACTAATGGGTAAAGAGCATAAGAATGTAAGATTTTTATGCTCTTATATAAACAGTAAGATGTTTACTGCAGAAGGAAGACTGGTCCATGTGAGATCGGTCTATTTCACATCCCATTATTTTCCGTTACGTATCTGTCTAAACAACTTCTGTTTTACCAAGTTGTTTGTTCCGACGGTGTTCCTTGTGGTCAAAGCTCACCCAGTCTGGGACACAAGCGGCAAGTGTCGCGCACTCGAGGGACCAGCACAACTTTCACAGATGGGAGCAGGATAGCAGAAACCTATGCATCCCGTGAGCGAGATTTACAAGCAAGCGAGCACAATCTCCCACGAGTATGCCAATTATAACCTTTATACCCCCTTAGCTTCCTGGGCTGAGAGTGGCATCCCAACAGTGCTGCTAAGACACGTGTTCTCTGTTAATCCTCGGATGGATATGATTCGCTGCAAGGGAACGTCTTGGCGGAGCAAGTTGGCCGAGGGATTCTTGGCCACCTCACCAACTCGCACCTCACTATACACATTGACATGTGCTGGATACTTGCAGAAATCTACTTAGCGAACAAACCGTTAAGCTGCACCCAACTGAATTGGGTCAGGTAGTGGAAAGACAGGCGAAAGGGAGTAAAAGATATAAATTGGAGAATAAGCATAAGTCAGAGAGCAAGCCGAAGAGGAAGAGCTATCAGAGAGGGTGTATAAGATGGATGAGAACAAGCAGAAGAGGGAGAATATGTAAAAGAGAAGAACAAACAGAAGAAAGATAAGAGATGAAACTAACAGGCAGATGAACAAGCAAGAGGAGAACAAGTGGAAGACGGAGAAGAAGCAGAGGGAGGAGGACAGGCAGAAGAAGAAACAACAACAACATACAGGAAAAATAGAGCCAGGAGGAATAAGAGAAAGCCCCAACAGACCAATCTGTGTTAGCGAGGGACCAAGACGGCGGCCTTGTCAACTCGTCATCATTACAAGTCTACAACACGCACACCAGCGACCTCTGGTGGATCTACACACCCCCTCACTCATCACCGGGTTGTGTCAACACTCATCAGTCTCTCTCACCAACACTGATCAACCACTCACATGAGCGGAGATTCCGGAGGGAACCAACCAGCAGGATCTCACACTAGGTATGATAACAGTGAGGACACAGTGGTAGGTGTTATTTACAACCCTCCCATTATCTTCAGGAAGGTCAAGGGAGGATTATGATAAAAGCGACGAAAGATATCTGAGAATGATAGAAAATGCGGTCACAGTGGTAAGAAGAGCCAGGGCAAAGATCCTAATACTTAAAGATTTCATCCACATGGAAATGGACTTACACAATACAATACAATACAATTTTATTTAGGTAAGGTACATACATACAATAAATATTTACAAGGATTGTTTGACTTATAGGTAGAGCTAGTACATACAATGCCTAAAGCCACTATTACGCAAAGCGTTTCGGGCATGGACTTGACGGGTCCTCACGGGTCCTCACGGGGGAGGTGAAACATGGAGTAAGATTTGTAGACATTACAGGCAAATATTTCCTGTGCCAGCATATCAAGGAGCCGAGAAGAAAAAGAGGTGATCTACCAGCTACCTTATACAGTAACTGCTATTTGCCCAAAATGAGGATGTAGAGAACTTAAAATTTGAGGTACCACTAGAAGCCAGTGACTACTGCGCTATCGTGTTTAATTACATTGTTGAACTGAACGGGAGTTGGAAACAGGACAAGGCACACTAGAGAATAGAGAGAGAGGACTACAAGAGGGAAAGAGAGGAGGGGGAGAGGGATGTAGGAGTCTGAGAAGGGGGGAGGAAGGGAAGAAGCACCAAGGTCGTAATGATCAATACAGAACAAAAGAAGATTTCACTAGCGGCACCAGCAAGGAAGAAGAGGAAAGACGAGGTAAGATATAGGAAGGAGAAAAGAGGGGAAGGAAAGGGGAAAGTAGAGGGAGAGGAAGGAAAGGGGAATTACATGAAAGGGATAAGAAGTGGAGGGAGGGGAGGGAGGGAAGGCGAGGGGAGAGGACACAAACAACCTTCCGCCTCTGGAGTGTACATAAACGTTCATTAAGACACGAACGGTAATACACACTGAGGTCCTAATTGTTTACCAGGAGCATGGGAGGGAGGCCGGGAGCTGCCACCTTACCCTCCCTCTTCCCTCTCTTCATCTTCTCTCCCTCATTAGTTCCGTTACCACTCCTTCACACCAGGAACTAGGAGTGTGAAGGAAGGTGTATTTTTTCCATCCTGGAAAAAAAGGCCACTGATCACAAGGTGGTGTGACCCCCTGGCTTTTATTTAGTACTCTGCCAGTCAGGGTGTAGCTGGCGATGGCGCCTGGGGTGAGACACTGGAGTGTACTGACTCTCCCGGCCTGTCCGGGGCGTGGCTGGGGTGTTTTTTTGTTATAAGACACACTGTGGTAAGACACTGTGGGGTGTGGTGGGTGTGGCTGGAGTGTGATACTCACGACCTGTCAGGGGTGTGGTGGGTGTGACTGAGGTGTGGTACTCACGACCTGTCAGGGGTGTGGTGGGTGTGACTGAGGTGTGATACTCACGACCTGTCAGGGGTGTGGTGGGTGTGGCTGAGGTGTGATACTCACGACCTGTCAGGGGTGTGGTGGGTGTGATACTCACGACCTGTCAGGGGTGTGGTGGGTGTGGCTGAGGTGTGGTACTCACGACCTGTCAGGGGTGTGGTGGGTGTGATACTCACGACCTGTCAGGGGTGTGGTGGGTGTGGCTGAGGTGTGGTACTCACGACCTGTCAGGGGTGTGGTGGGTGTGATACTCACGACCTGTCAGGTGTGTTGGGTGTGATACTCACGACCTGTCAGGGGTGTGGTGGGTGTGACTGAGGTGTGGTACTCACGACCTGTCAGGGGTGTGGTGGGTGTGACTGAGGTGTGGTACTCACGACCTGTCAGGGGTGTGGCTGAGGTGTGGTACTCACGACCTGTCAGGGGTGTGGTGGGTGTGGCTGAGGTGTGGTACTCACGACCTGTCAGAGGTGTGGTGGGTGTGGCTGGGTGTGGTACTCACGACCTGTCAGGGGTGTGGTGGGTGTGATACTCACGACCTGTCAGGGGTGTGGTGGGTGTGATACTCACGACCTGTCAGGGGTGTGGTGGGTGTGATACTCACGACTTGTCAGGGGTGTGGTGGGTGTGATACTCACGACCTGTCAGGGGTGTGGTGGGTGTGATACTCACGACCTGTCAGGGGTGTGGTGGGTTTGGCTGGGTGTGGTAAGACACTCGGTGCTCTTGTGACGGCGCGACACTCGAAGCTTCAGGTCCAGGAAGTGCAGTGGGTTACGTCCCTTCAGCCGGCCCTCTCGCCCTCCTACCTGCAGGTATTGTCTTTCTTAAGTGGGTGGAGTGAGAGAGGGAAGGGGCGAGGAAGAGGGAGATGGGGGGCAAAGGAGAAGGGGTGAGGGAGAAAGGGTGAAGGGGGGGTGAGAGTGCATGACGTCGTGATTAGTGGTTAGTAGAGTGCATCATTGTTGGTTGGGTGGCGCTGTTGTTGTTTTACATTCAGCTATTCTGAACCAAAAGTTCCAAGTAGCACGGGCTATGGTGAGCCCGTTGTACTCACCTGGCACAGGAGATGTGCGGGTGGAGCTACACGGTATGGTTAATGAAGGAAGGTGTGAACGTATGACTTCGTGTGGGGGGGGGGGTCAAAACATGGGGTCAGTGAATGGGGGGAGGGGGTGCTGGGACTATGCTAGGATTATGAAAAAAAAAGTCGCAGGGTAGCATATATTATTCCATTTCAACCATGTCAACAAGAAACAACACAACTGTATATTTAATTTTACCTTTAAATAAATCAAGTAATAATGTCAAATAAATTTTGTAATGATAAGGTAGGTTAAATAAATTCTGTCAAAATATCCAAGATTAAAATTATTTGAAAAAAACAAAAAACAATAATCAGCCCAGCAACGGAAGTTGTACCTTGATCCCAAAGAATTTTTCAGGAGCTTTTCTCTCACTGGAGGAGACGACGATGGAGGGGATGGAGGAGAGAGAGCCCATGAATGAGCCGCCATGTGAACCCTTCAGCAGGTTGCCTTCGTCGCTCCCAGATCCCTTTGTCACGTCCCCCAGCTCGCCTCCGAGGTCTTCGTCGACGCCGCCTGCAACGGTCAGACACCTCTCAGACCACCATAGAAAACGAATATGAGAAAACGAGCTAACACACAAGAGAAAACGAAAGCCGTATGTATATTTAGGGCTAACTAAGGTAAAGCTAAAGTGTTTGTATTTTACCTACAAATAATACAAATTTTTTAATTATAGCAATTTAATGGTATCAAATGAACTGTTCATTTGATACAACTTTACTGACAACCCAGTGTACCTGTTTGTAAATATTATTAAATAAAATAATAGAGAGTAGGTGTGATAAATGTTTTAATTGTAGTCTTCATTGGCAACAAAAATGACTTTTCAAGTGTCCTAAGTTATAAATTCCTGGGAATGGGCATCAATGAGAATCAAATTCCCTAAAAATCTCTTGAATTAAATAAATAGAATGAATGATCTTTAACAGGCAACGCATTAATGCTTCCAGGATTATTAGAGTCACTAGATTTGTAACATTTAAGGAGACAATTTTGAATAATAATAATGAATTTTATTCACAAAAAGGTACAATGGGTTGGTGAAATTACATAAGATTGGTATTTTTACATTCTTGCAAAGCCACTAACACGCATAGCGTTTCGGGCAGACGTGAAACAATTCTCAGAGCTATGATGTGTGGATCTTGAATCCCCCAAAATAAGATAAATACAGCGTTATAAGACACACAACATTACTCATCACCTTTATCATTATTAGTTATCGCTTATCGGTTTGAGTCACTGGGCGCTGCAGAATGCACGTGTATATAATAGGATGGCAACGTTAATACTTGGAGTTAGAAACCCTCCTTTATGAAGAGATTCTAATTGATTAATTTTCACTCTAGAAAGGCAAATAGTAAAGGATGAGCTGATGAAAGGGTATAATGAAGGGGAAATCAATAATGTGCTAAATATATGAACACAAAATACACTTGAAAACAAATAATATAAATTGGATAAGTTTAGATTCAGAACAGACTTGGGAAGATATTGATTAGGAAATAAGGTTGCTAAGTTATGGAATAAATAACCGGGTACCATGATAGATATAGGATCGCTGCATTGTTTCATGCGTAGATTAGACACATGAATTAATTTGGTTGGCTATAAATATAGGTGCAACGCATGATACACTAAGCCTTCTGATGTTTCCTTTACTCTTTGGGTTTAATATTGTTATACACTGATATAGGAAAGAGTTCAGGCTTGAAGTAAATTCTCATTATATATACATTAAAAATTTATATTATATTATATATACATTACCTTGAACTTCTGTGAGGATATCTCACAGGATATGAGGATACACATGACCAAAGGAAAACTGTCTTAACCAACCCACATACGTTACCTTGGCAATGATTCAATACAATTCATTCAGATTTTTACTACACATGAGCATGCACTTCATGCCACTAAATTCGGTCAAATAGAGAGTATGACGCCATGGCGGCCTTCCCTTAGCCTCATGCACCGTGTTCCAATCCTTGGTGACTATAATTTACGTGACCTCAATACCATGGTACACATGCTGCTCTCCTCATTTTAGAATTTTAAGAGAAACGCTTGAGTAATTCTATTGTAAATAAGGAAGAAGCGTATTATGCGGGTATTTATTCAACTGCCTGTAGGGAACGGGGGGTTGCTCTAATGTCCACGTTATCGTTTATGGGGATGTTTCCCGCCAGAATGAGGATTCCTTTATCTCCAGGGAGACAAAAAGCACTCATGCCGCCATAAATGGACTTTAATTATGTCAAGGGGACCAGTCAGAACCGCGAATACTGTGGCGAGTTTTTTTTTTTAGGGTGTTTTTTTTATTAACCGCAAACCTTGTCATTAATTTACAAAGATAACCAGCAAATATATTTTTCTTCGATTCTCCATGAACAAGTTCAGAGATCTGTTACATTGTGTTACTGTGCTGTGGGGAGATAGGAGCTACCCAGCCTTGATAAGAATAAAGAATAAAGAATAAGAATAGAATAAAGAATAAGAATAGAATAAAGTGGTTCAAGGGTCCCCTAGTGTTGAATGAGAGAGAGAGAGAGAGAGAGAGAGAGAGAGAGAGAGAGAGAGAGAGAGAGAGAGAGAGAGAGAGAGAGAGAGAGAGAGAGAGAGAGAGAGAGAGAGAGAGAGAGAGAGAGAGAGAGAGAGAGAGAGAGAGAGAGAGAGAGAGAGAGAGAGAGAGAGAGAGAGAGAGAGAGAGAGAGAGAGAGAGAGAGAGAGAGAGAGAGAGAGAGAGAGAGAGAGAGAGAGAGAGAGAGAGAGAGAGAGAGAGAGAGAGAGAGAGAGAGAGAGAGAGAGAGAGAGAGAGAGAGAGAGAGAGAGAGAGAGAGAGAGAGAGAGAGAGAGAGAGAGAGAGAGAGAGAGAGAGAGAGAGAGAGAGAGAGAGAGAGAGAGAGAGAGAGAGAGAGAGAGAGAGAGAGAGAGAGAGAGAGAGAGAGAGAGAGAGAGAGAGAGAGAGAGAGAGAGAGAGAGAGAGAGAGAGAGAGAGAGAGAGAGAGAGAGAGAGAGAGAGAGAGAGAGAGAGAGAGAGAGAGAGAGAGAGAGAGAGAGAGAGAGAGAGAGAGAGAGAGAGAGAGAGAGAGAGAGAGAGAGAGAGAGAGAGAGAGAGAGAGAGAGAGAGAGAGAGAGAGAGAGAGAGAGAGAGAGAGAGAGAGAGAGAGAGAGAGAGAGAGAGAGAGAGAGAGAGAGAGAGAGAGAGAGAGAGAGAGAGAGAGAGAGAGACTGAGAGAAGGTCTTTGATGAGGTGTAGCTCCTGGTTGCGCCTGTGCTCCAGGTCCTGAAGCATCCTCTCGGTGTCCTGTTCACTCTCCCTCAGCTGAGTGTCCAAGGAGGAAAGCCTGTTCCTTAAAGCCTCCAGCTGCACTGACACGTCTGCCACCTCACGGGTCTTCTTCGATGACTGCTGCCTCTCCAGCGTCGCCATCTGCAACACAGGAACCATACTCAGAGTTCCTTGCGGCCAGTCATCATACAATCTACAATATAGAAGTCATAACCACAGGGCTCAGGAGCCCCGCCCTGAGCACTCATGAGCTACAACATCAGGGCTTCTCAGGGTAGGCCTGTGCACTCTACAATACAGGAGCATAACTTTAGAGCTTCTGGGCGCAATCATACAATCTGTATGCTAAATCAAGCATTCTACAAGCCAACTCAAGCTTACGATAGATGTTTTGGGCAGGGGGCAACCTATGCTACACTAAGGAAAATAGAACCAGGAGGAGGCAAAGGTGGAAATCTGGAAACAAACTAATTAGGTAAATGTAAAAATAAAGTACTAATATACATTGCCAAGTAAATGGAGTTATCTGTGAACTTAGGTATTGGAACCCACTTCTATCCACAACTTTTAGTGCACTGACACAGCATTACAAAGTAGCAAGGATTGATCGCACAAGGTACCTTATAGCTAAGAGGCAGGATGCAATAAGTAGACCTCTCCCCGGTTGACACAGACATGCATACGCAGTTTTAAGCAAGTACTAACCTTGATGGCCGTGGAGTTCTTGCGCTGGCGGAGGATGACGACCTTCCTGAGGGCTGATTGTTGTGCCTCGTGCTGTGCTCGGTCGTACTCGTTGGCCACCTCCCCCGCCGTCACCAACCACGCCCCCGCCTGCAACACCAGCGGTCTGGTTACAACACCAGTGGTCAGGATACCAACAATAGGGGTCTAACTATAACCTCATTATAGTTAGACCCCCTATAAATTAGTTATAACACCAGAGGTCTAGCTATAACACCAGGGGTCTAGTTATAACACCAGGGGGTACGGATATAACACCTAACCTCTTCCAAGCTGGTATACTAACCTTCCCTGATATCCTAACCTTTATGATTCCATATTTACATTATTGATTAGAGATTTAGATTATGAATATAAAATAACCCAAATAACTTTCAAGCTTATGTTATTACGAAAAATTCCAGATAAAACTGTAAGCGTCGCCAGCGTCTGCGTGTAAGTTGCAGGTCATTGTTCTTAGCGGATTACTCTCCGGGAGGAGGAGTAAGGCACGCTAGGCTGTCGTGTTGTTGCTCTAGTATGTGCAGGCGGAAAATATATGAAAAAAACAAAACAAACAGAAGGGTTATAGGGGACAGCAAGCCTACTTGTTTTATTGAAATTAGCCAAATGACTGATATTCCTTATGATGTGACCTCGCAATAGTCAACAAAGTCAACATCTTGACGTATACCTTACCTATGGCCAAACATTGTCGCGCTAGAAAATGATAGCGGCTCGCGCAATTGACATACTGTCCCGTTTTCTATTTTGGGTTCTCTGGTAGATTTGGAGAGGGCACTTTAATATAGGAGTTTCTTGACGTTGGGAAAACTTAGGAGGACGGGCTGCTCAATATATAAAACTCAAGCTACATGAGAGTTGTTCTCGCTCTTACATCTCTTATTATTTTACTATTCATGCTATCATTATCATTTTAATTAAGAGTGGGATAGTCTTGCGAGAGACTCCTGCTATGTCAAGACATACGGGCCACTCCGTCCATCACTGCAATCCTGAGAGAAAACCGTTCAGCATCCAGCATTCGTTGATCAAGCAAGATTTTGTTATCACCTTTACACAAAAAATAGCTAATCAGCAAATTTATTATATTTGAATTTAGAATGTCAAAATACATGATATACCAGCTCTTTTTATCTCAGAAGCAGACAACTTTTGAGAAACTGCTGACCAGTGTTATATCCATTGTCCGGCGAAAAATGTCGAGTGCGCTACGCGAGATTGGCGCTGTAAAATTGGACACAGGGAGTAATAGTTATGTGGTATGTTGATGGCTTCAGGGTGGTTACTGCAAGATTCAGTGACTCTTAAAGCTCTTCTAAGGTCGTTGATTGCCTCACGTTCTAGGAGACAGTGAAGTAGTGGCTTTTCTGTGATTGTTTGGCAGAAAATGCATTCCCACTCTCTGGGTTCATCAATCTCCTGGTTGCATCTGTAACCTAGACGTAGTCTATATAACATAACTGCTATTTCCCTGTGGATTCCTTTCGTGATATTTAACCCGTCTAACTTGGTGGCCTGAAGATATTATATTGCAGAGGGTGAACCTTCTGCTACACTCTGGTGTAGATGGGCTTTGTTGAGGTGTAAGAGTTTTTTGGTGATGGTGTTTTTTATGTACTCTGGGCTGGGTTGGATTGTTTTGTGGATCACTGGATGACGAGTTGCCAATTTAGAAGTTTCATGGGCTTTTTCATTTAATGGGATTCCAACATGGGATGGGATTCAGTTTAGGGTGATGTTGAGTCCTTTGCCTTTAGCGACTGCTCCTAGATACAAAATTGTGGTAATTATTTTCACGTTATCTTTCCACTGCTTTTTTCCTAATATTTGAAGTGCAGCTTTTGAGTCTGTCTGAATAATTGCATTTTTGAGTGTTTTGTGCAATCACATATGCGAATGCCTGTTGTATGGCAAACAACTCAGTTTGGGTTGATGATACTGGTCCTCCCAGTCTCCAATATGTCTGTTCGCTGTCCGTGCAAAAAGCAGCTCCAGCACTCATATTCTGTGTCCACCGATCCGTATGTGAAGATCTGGGTGGCTCCTGCTACTGTAATGTTGCTCATTTGCTTTTCTATGATGTGCCTTAGATTGTTGGATCATATTCAGACTTTTTCATCGGAAGACCTTCTTTATTATTTTGAAAGTAAATTCTTTTACTTTTACTCTTTTACTTTACTTGGGGAACAAGTGTAGTATGGGTGTGGTCGGTCACCTCTTCTATCCAGAATAATGCTTTTTAACTGTAGTCGGTTTAGGACTTCTCCCGCTCTAGCAGCCCAAGAGTTGCCAGTGAGTGCACTTCGTAGTGCAGTTCAGTTTGGAAGACCAAGCTAGTAGGTTAAGCATTCCCATAACCTCCACCCCCCCCCCTCCCCCACCCGTTTTTCGTGGTGTCAATTTTATCATGTGACCTAAAGGAGAGGAGGGATTTTGTGACACATCACATGCAGTGGTGTAAGGAAGCTTGCACCAAACGTATTACCCTGCCCCGGAATCGAACCGTGAACCAATCAGTTATGAATCGATGGGGCTACCACAACTACTAACATCTACCACAGCAACCAACAATTACCACAGCAACCAACACCTCTACCACAGCAACCATAGGCACACCGTCACCCCAAATTTACCCCAGACCGCCGATTTTTCTGCTTCTTCTCCAGCAGCGACTTTGTGGCCAACATCTGCTGAAGCAGCTCCTTCCTGGTGGCGTCGTCGCGGGCACTGTCATGCGAGAGAAGACGCGGGCGACGGAGGCGGACCTTGCCTTCCCCGCCTTCTGCCGCGGTCTCCAGCAGCGACGCGCCCTGTCCTCCCACGTCCTCCTCCTCCTCTTCCTCCCCTTGGCTCTCGGCTTCACACGAGTCCCCGCTCCCTGGGTCATGTTCACCTGCAGGAGACACTGAAGGTCAACATTCACACAGTAGGCGATAGTCTGACCTTAAGATATTCAACTGTTACAAAAACGGACAAGGATACAGGAAAGTTAAGATTAAGAGGCTTGCTTTTGTCCAAAAGGAATTGTATATGATATTAAAAATATTATTTTGTGCTTTTGATATGGTGAGTTAGGGAAGAGTGGTTTATTTCCACATTCAAAAGTTATGTTATGAGACAAATAACTGCGCCAAGATTACTCCGACAAGGTGACTACAGCAAGGTAACTACAGCAAGGTGACTACAGCAAGGTAACTACAGCAAGGTAACTACAGCAAGGTGACTACAGCAAGGTAACTACAGCAAGGTAACTACAGCAAGGAAACTACAGCAAGGTAACTACAGCAAGGTAACTACAGCAAGGTAACTACAGCAAGGTAACTACAGCAAGGTAACTACAGCAAGGTAACTACAGCAAGGTAACTACAGCAAGGTAACTACAGCAAGGTAACTACAGCAAGGTAACTACAGCAAGGTAACTACAGCAAGGTAACTACAGCAAGGTAACTACAGCAAGGTGACTACAACAAGGTGACTACAGCAAGGTGACTACAGCAAGGTGACTACAGCAAGGTGACTACAGCAAGGTGACTACAGGTAACTAAGCAAGTGACTACAGCAAGGTAACTACAGCAAGGTGACTACAGCAAGGTAACTACAGCAAGGTGACTACAGCAAGGTGACTACAGCAAGGTAACTACAGCAAGGTGACTACAGCAAGGTAACTACAGCAAGGTGACTACAGCAAGGTAACTACAGCAAGGTGACTACAGCAAGGTGACTACAGCAAGGTAACTACAGTAAGACAACTACAGCAAGGTGACTACAGCAAGGTACACTACACAGCAAGGTAACTACAGCAAGGTGACTACAGCAAGGTAACTACAGCAAGGTGACTACAGCAAGGTAACTACAGCAAGGTAACTACAGCAAGGTAACTACAGTACAGCAAGGTAACTACAGCAAGACAACTACAGCAAGGTAACTACAGCAAGGTGACTACAGCAAGGTAACTACAGCAAGGTGACTACAGCAAGGTAACTACAGTAAGACAACTACAGCAAGGTAACTACAGCAAGGTAACTACAGTAAGACAACTACAGCAAGGTAACTACAGCAAGGTGACTACAGCAAGGTAACTACAGCAGCAAGGTAACTACAGCAAGACAACTACAGCAAGGTAACTACAGCAAGGTGACTACAGCAAGGTAACTACAGCAAGGTGACTACAGCAAGGTAACTACAGCAAGGTGACTACAGCAAGGTAACTACAGCAAGGTGACTACAGCAAGGTAACTACAGCAAGGTAACTACAGTAAGACAACTACAGCAAGGTAACTACAGCAAGGTGACTACAGCAAGGTAACTACAGCAAGGTAACTACAGTAAGACAACTACAGCAAGGTAACTACAGCAAGGTAACTACAGTAAGACAACTACAGCAAGGTAACTACAGCAAGGTGACTACAGCAAGGTAACTACAGTAAGACAACTACAGCAAGGTAACTACAGCAAGGTAACTACAGTAAGACAACTACAGCAAGGTAACTACAGCAAGGTGACTACAGCAAGCAAGGTAACTACAGTAAGACAACTACAGCAAGGTAACTACAGCAAGGTAACTACAGTAAGACAACTACAGCAAGGTAACTACAGCAAGGTGACTACAGCAAGGTAACTACAGCAAGGTAACTACAGCAAGGTGACTACAGCAAGGTAACTACAGCAAGGTAACTACAGCAAGGTAACTACAGCAAGGTAACTACAGCAAGGTGACTACAGCAAGGTGACTACAGCAAGGTAACTACAGCAAGGTGACTACAGCAAGGTAACTACAGTAAGACAACGACACAAGGTGACTACAGCAAGGTAACTACAGCAAGGTGACTACAACAAGGTGACTACAGCAAGGTAACTACAGCAAGGTGACTACAGCAAGGTGACTACAGCAAGGTAACTACAACAAGGTAACTACAGCAAGGTGACTACAGCAAGGTAACTACAACAGATGAAGATGACAGCAACAAATGAAGGAACATGACAGCAACAGATGAAGGAACATGACAGCAACAGATGAAGGAACATGACAACAAAAGATAAAGGCAGATGTCAATAACAGACGAATGAACATGACAGTAAAAGACACTACAAAACAAAGAACAGCAAAAGAAAAAAGCATTACAATAACACGGGTGAAGGAAGTCGAACAGGGCGTTGAGAGCTTTCTTAGTGAGCTCATCTTCCTCCTCCCCCTCCTCCCCCGGGGTCTCATGCTGGGGGAGGCAGGAGAAGGGGAGAAGAAGTGCCCCCTCGCACATTCCCCTCAGCCCCAGGGAAAAGGGTGATCTGTAGCGAAAACAAATGACGGTCAAATCACTGATCATCAGGACTTTTTGGCTCAAAATGTGGACAAGGAACAAACTGTAAAGTACTAACAGTGAACAGTAGAGTAAGAACACTAAAAAAATGTATTCTACAGTAGAGTTAGAATGATAAAGTACTGATTACCCATTAGATTAGGAACCATTAAAGCAATGTAGTTTCCAGTAAAAATATATAAAGGTAATGTATCTCTTTATTCTTGAGATATAAAAAAGGAGTCTGAACACTGGGAAAACAAAGCACATGACGTGTTCTATAAAATAGTTTGTGTTAAGAAAGCTGAACAATAATGTTGGTCTCGAGAATGACACGGGCAGGAACAAGTGTAAGGAACTATTTTGTTTATACGTAGGTGGGTACAGGAAGAGACGATTTTTGGCTCCTGTTAGCAGGCTGAGAGCTTTCCCTTTCCCTTAACTCACAGTAAGTCTTACCCACTAATTACCCACATGCCCGTGGCACCTCTTGGGGGGCTTAACCTTCATCAATCTTAGGACGCCTGACCAATGTTGTATTTTGTTCGTTGTGGCAAATCAAGAGAACGGGCTGAATATTAAGCCGATGACTGTAAGAACCTTTATAAACGCTATAGTTTATCTAGGAAGATTAAAACTGGAGAAAAGTGCGACAAAAAGTGAAAACTTGAAACAATACAGGAAGTAGACAGGAATTAAGACCGGAAGTAAGACTTAAGTAGACAGGAATTAAGACCGGAAGTAAGACTTAAGTAGACAGGAATTAAGACCGGAAGTAAGACTTAAGTAGACAGGAATTAAGACCGGAAGTAAGACTTAAGTAGACAGGAAGAAGACTGGGGATACAGGGACCATAGCTGGCATACCAACACATCTGGCAAATGTCATATTAGTAGTAATAGAAAATGATAATATTATTATGAAAAAAAAGGTTTCTTTTAATTCGTGATGTTTTTAATTGTTTCAACATTTTTACGGTGGAAGATACGTGAAAAGATCGACTGGAGTCGACCTGAGAGGTGAGACGGGCGGTGACAGGTGTCAAGTGACAGGTGTGTCCACGTGACATGCATGATAAGTGTGAAGTGCATCCACGTGACAAGCGAGACAGATGTAAGTGAAGGTGTGTGTTAAAGGGACAAGTACACCTCCACAGGAAACGCAAAGTGTTTCCTGTGGAAACACAGGAAACACATGCTGTTTCCCGCCAACAACCTCCCCCCCCCCCCATGTCTACACCTCTTTCCTGATCTCCAACCCTCCGTCCCACCTCCCCCTTGCTCACCCACCTGTCCACACTCTTCCCTTATTCCTCCCTCCCTGCCCACACCCTTCCCTTACTCTAACTCTTTCGTTGCCCACATAGCTTTTCCTTTATTAACAGCCCTCCTGAACACAGAATCAAATCTCATTTGCAGCCACACACACACACCTGCAGCCACACACCCACCTGCAGTCACACACCCACCTGCAGCCACACACACACACCTGCAGCCACACACACACACCTGCAGCCACACACAAGCTGGAAAAAGTCCAAAGGTATGCCACTAGACTAGTCCCAGAACTAAGAGGCATGAGTTACGAGGAAAGGCTGCGGGAAATGCACCTTACGACACTGGAAGACAGAAGAGTAAGGGGAGACATGATCACAACCTACAAAATCCTCAGAGGAATCGACCGGGTAAACAAGGATAAACTATTCAACACTGGTGGGACGCGAACAAGGGGACACAGGTGGAAACTGAGTACTCACATGAGCCACAGAGACGTTAGAAGGAACTTTTTCAGTGTCAGAGTAGTTAACGGATGGAATGCATTAGGCAGTGATGTGGTAGAGGCTGACTCCATACACAGTTTTAAATGTAGATATGATAGAGCCCAGTAGGCTCAGGAATCTGTACACCAGTTGATTGACAGTTGAGAGGCGGGACCAAAGAGCCAAAGCTCAACCCCCGCAAGCACAAATAGGTGAGTACAAATAGGTGAGTACACACACACCTGCAGCCACACACCCACCTGCAGTTCCACACTCCAGGTTGAGTCCCTCGAGCTGTAGAGAGCGCTTGACAGCGGTGACCCTCAACATGGCGGCCCAGACGTTGGCCTCCGACTCAGCTTGAAGAAATAGACTCACCTGCTCCTCACCCTGATGGAACAAACGTTAATTATAACACTATTATTAGTTATGATAATGATTACAACTAGATTTTATCTCTGGTAATTAATATACTAAAATGTATCACCTTCGCTTGACTGGTGAGAGAGATATCTCTTGAACAAAATGTCAGCTGACAAGCACATAGGGCAGTGTGATGTGTGATGTGCACAAGCACATCAATATGGCAGATTGAAGAGATTTGATCCCACTCAAATTAGAAGAACTCTCTCATGGATTACTCTCTGGTGTCTGGCGACTCTCCATTGTTACCCATCTTGCTTATTACGTCTACATTTTCACAAGGTTCATGATTGGTTCTTGGCTGATGTGATTATTTTGTATTTTTACCTATTTCTTGTTTGAGTTTCTGTTTCCTTTGTGTTTCTTCATTCCGTCATAATTGTTTTAGTTTGAGATCATAGCACTTCTTCAGTCTAGGGAGGAATTACACACTTCAAGAGGGGGGGGGGGGAAATTTGAACTTAGTCCAAAGTAGATTATTCGCTTTCTATTCATATTTCTGCATTTCTTAAGATGCAGGCAACTACATACTTTTCCTTTAATAACTCTATCATGACTATGTCTGCATCCTCCACTACCAATTTGCATATATTGGACTTTCTGGCCATAATCCGTGACATTTTACGTTCTATTACTGTCTTGATACATTTTTCTATTCCTGTGTTGCTTCCAAGTTTTTCCTGATTGATTGATTGATAAAGATTAAGCCACCCAAGAGGTGGCACGGGCATGAATAGCCCGTAAGTGGTAAAGGTTTTTCCTGCTCCTCGATTTGTATTTATACCGCTTCACGTGATGCTACTCCTTACCTTTTTATTCTTTGTTTCAATTTATGTTAACCTATTTTCAGCACACTTGTGATTCCGGTTCATCTTGGAGTTGCGGGTGTGACCCCACTGGGAGGAGGAAATCTTTGACAAGCCACCGGTTTCCTGTCCCCGTAGGGTCCGCTGGAGATTGTGACCACGAGGTAAATTCAGATAAATTTTGTACTTTTGTGAATTTGTTGCTTTATTTCCATTCTGCATAATAGTTGGTAAGTTGCCCACCTCTTGAAAACAAATTACATGTGATACGATCTCTTTGTCAAATTTCCCACATCAGTTTGTTGCTCCTACAATTTTAATTAAAATGCCGCAATACCATTTCTTATACTGATTTAATCATATAGGTGAAACCTGTGTCTTTATACATATATATCTTTATACATATCTTTATACTATATACATATAGTCGTATATATATATATATATGTGTGTGTGTGTGTGTGTGTGTGTGTGTGTGTGTGTGTGTGTGTGTGTGTGTGTGTGTGTGTGTGTGTGTGTGTGTGTGTGTGTGTGTGTACTCACCTATATGTGCTTGCAGGATCGAGCATTGACTCTTGGATCCCGCCTTTCTAGCTATCGGTTGTTTACAGCAATGACTCCTGTCCCATTTCCCTATCATACCTAGTTTTAAAAGTATGAATAGTATTTGCTTCCACAACCTGTTCCCCAAGTGCATTCCATTTTTCTACTACTCTCACGCTAAAAGAAAACTTCCTAACATCTCTGTGACTCATCTGAGTTTCCAGTTTCCACCCATGTCCCCTCGTTCTTTTATTATTACGTGTGAACATTTCATCTATTTCCACTTTGTCAATTCCCCTGAGTATTTTATATGTCCCTATCATATCTCCTCTCTCCCTTCTTTTCTCTAGTGTCGTAAGGTTCAGTTCCTTCAGCCGCTCTTCATATCCCATCCCTCGTAACTCTGGGACAAGCCTCGTCGCAAACCTCTGAACTTTCTCCAGTTTCTTTATGTGTTTCTTCAGGTGGGGGCTCCATGATGGCGCGGCATACTCTAAGACGGGTCTCACGTAGGCAGTGTAAAGCGCCCTAAAAGCTTCCTCATTTAGGTTTCTGAATGAAGTTCTAATTTTCGCCAGTGTAGAGTACGCTGCTGTCGTTATCCTATTTATATGTGCCTCAGGAGTTAGATTAGGTGTCACATCCACTCCCAGGTCTCTTTCTCGAATCGTTACAGGTAGGCTGTTCCCCTTCATTGTGTACTGTCCCTTTGGTCTCCTGTCACCTGATCCCATTTCCATAACTTTACATTTACTGGTGTTAAACTCCAGTAGCCATTTCCCTGACCATCTCTGCAGCCTGTTTAAGTCCTCTTGGAGGATCCTACAATCCTCGTCTGTCACAACTCTTCTCATTAATTTTGCGTCATCTGCAAACATTGACATGTATGATTCCACTCCTGTAAACATATCATTTACGTAAATTAGAAAGAGGATTGGTCCCAGCACCGATCCTTGAGGTACTCCACTTGTTACTGTTCGCCAGTCCGACTTTTCGCCCCTTACCATTACCCTCTGGCTCCTTCCTGTTAGGTAGTTCTTCACCCATACTAGGGCCTTTCCGCTTACTCCTGCCTGCCTCTCAAGTTTGTATAGCAGTCTCATGTGCGGTACCGTATCAAAGGCCTTTTGGCAGTCAAGAAATATGCAGTCTGCCCAGCCTTCTCTGTCCTGCCTTATCCTTGTTACTTTATCATAGAATTCTAAAAGGTTTGTTAGGCATGATTTCCCTGTCCAGAACCCATGTTGGTGCTTGTTTACAAACCCAATGCTCTCCAGGTGCTCAACAAGTCTTAGCCTAATTATTCTTTCAAGTATTTTGCAGGGATGCTTGTCAGTGATACGGGTCTGTAGTTAAGTGCCTCCTCCCTATCACCTTTTTTGAAAATCGGTACGACATTTGCCTCCTTCCAGCAACTGGGCAATTCTCCCGACATAAGTGACTCATTAAAGATCATTGCCAGAGGCACGCTGAGAGCCTGCGCTGCCTCTTTAAGTATCCACGGTGATACTTTGTCTGGTCCAACAGCTTTATTTGCATCCAGTGTTGTCAACTGTTTCATTACATCCTCTGCTGTCACCTCTATATCTGATAGTCTTTCATCTTGGGTAATCTCTTCTAACAATGGGAGCTGCTCAGGCTCGGTTGTGAACACTCCATGGAATTTTGCATTCAGTACCTCGCAGATTTCCTTGTCGCTTTCTGTATATGCCCCTTCTGTTTTCCTCAGTCTTGTCACTTGGTCATTTACCGACATCTTCCTTCTTATATGGCTATGTAGTAATTTTGGTTGCTTTTTCGCTTTGACTGCAATATCATTCTCATAATTTCTTTCCGACACTCGTCTTATGTTAATGTAATCATTCCTGTGTGTGTGTGTGTGTGTGTGTGTGTGTGTGTGTGTGTGTGTGTGTGTGTGTGTGTGTGTGTGTGTGTGTGTGTGTGTGTGTGGCTGGCTGGAGGTGACAATTTACATATTTTATAATTTTCTTTCTTTAGGTTTGTATGGCATCCTGTTAATTCGGGTTTTCCCTTTGTATATTAATATACTGCAATTACTATGTAGGGACCACCTGGCCATGTAGGGACCACCTGGCCATGTAGGGACCACCTGGCCATGTAGGGACCACCTGGCCATGTAGGGACCACCTGGCCATGTAGGGACCACCTGGCCATGTAGGGACCACCTGGCCATGTAGGGACCACCTGGCCATGTAGGGACCACCTGGCCATGTAAGGACCACCTGGCCATGTAGGGACCACCTGGCCATGTAGGGACCACCTGGCCATGTAGGGACCACCTGGCCATGTAGGGTCCACCTGGCCATATAGGGACCACCTGGCCATGTAAGGACCACCTGGCCATGTAAGGACCACCTGGCCATGTAGGGACCACCTGGCCATGTAGGGACCACCTGGCCATGTAGGGACCACCTGGCCATGTAAGGACCACCTGGCCATGTAAGGACCACCTGGCCATGTGGGGACCACCTGGCCATGTGGGGACCACCTGGCCATGTGGGGACCACATGGCCATGTGGGGACCACCTGGCCATGTGGGGACCACCTGGCCATGTGGGGACCACCTGGCCATGTGGGGACCACCTGGCCATGTGGGGACCACCTGGCCATGTGGGGACCACCTGGCCATGTGGGGACCACCTGGCCATGTGGGGACCACCTGGCCATGTGGGGACCACCTGGCCATATGGGGACCACCTGGCCATGTGGGGACCACCTGGCCATGTGGGGACCACCTGGCCATGTAGGGACCACCAGGCCATGTGGGGACCACCTGGCCATGTGGGGATCACCTGGCCATGTGGGGACCACCTGGCCATGTGGGGACCACCTGGCCATGTGGGGACCACCTGGCCATGTGGGGACCACCTGGCCATGTAGGGACCACCTGGCCATGTGGGGACCACCTGGCCATGTGGGGACCACCTGGCCATGTAGGGACCACCTGGCCATGTAGGGACCACCTGGCCATGTAGGGACCACCTGGACTATAACTACCGAGCAGCAATCACATGGACCATCGCGGTCATAATGTTAATAGTTAGTAGGCCTGGCTGATTGTTACCAGCTACCACCAATAGGAACTATACCACCATCACCACTACCACGATCCCAGCTACCACCATCACCACTACCACGATCCCAGCTACCACCATCACCACTACCACGACCCCAGCTACCACCATCACCACTACCACGATCCCAGCTACCACCATCACCACTACCACGACCCCAGCTACCACCATCACCACTACCACGATCCCAGCTACCACCATCACCACTACCACGACCCCAGCTACCACCATCACCACTACCACGATCCCAGCTACCACCATCACCACTACCACGACCCCAGCTACCACCATCACCACTACCACGATCCCAGCTACCACCATCACCACTACCACGATCACAGCTACCACCATCACCACTACCACGATCCCAGCTACCACCATCACCACTACCACGATCCCAGCTACCACCATCACCACTACCACGACCCCAGCAACCACCATCACCAGCTACCACCATCACCACTACCACGATCCCAGCTACCACCATCACCACTACCACGACCCCAGCAACCACCATCACCAG